TGTTGTCTCAGGATATTTTGTGATTGATTGACATGTGGACTGACAAGTACCCTTCAATTGGGCGCCAGCCTCCCGTATCTCCCATCCCAACGCGAGCTTTTCCTTACAGTGAGAAAAGGACACGTGTGTGCGAGTGGGACGTGCGAGAAGCCGTAGCACAAATCGGCGGGCAGTATTACTTCCCTCCGGCTAACCGCCGTTCTGGGTTCGTAGAAGCCGGGTTTGTTATTATCGATACGCACTTCTCACCTTACTCGGTATTGTTGCCATTTAATGAGTTGATCGTCATTCCGTGGACGGCAGTAGAACCCCACTGGCCGCGCACTCTGTGCACCGAATGCCGGCGTTTCGATCGCTACGAGTCATAAGGCTTTCACTACCGGATACGGAGTGAAGAGGAGCACAAGGAAAGAGCCACGCGGCTGAGACCGTCCACGTCCTACTCGGAACTAACCAACGAACGAAGACAGGATTTGATACGGAAACGAGACACGCGAAGCGTGCCAAAGCCCTTCTGTTCTAAACGACGGGCCGTAGCCCAGTGGGAAGTGCGACAATATTTTTTGGATTGAATTCGGATTTTTTCCTCCTCCCGCTTCATCGGACTAACACGGGGGATTTCAGTTTCGTTTGTGTCCCCACACTTAATTCTAAAAAATCCTTGGCGCACCCCATCTTGCTGTCTTTCTGGGCCTCTTTCCGCACATCTAACACTCCGAACGGAAGACAACACAGGGTGTGAGGTTGGTATCGGAGCCGACACGTGTTGGTTCTGATGATAGCAAGTCGAACTAGCGAGAGGCAGGAAAGATCCTCAATTAGCTCGTCGAGAACGCCCCATAACCAGGTCTCAGTTCAGTGCGGCTGCGCTAGCAACACCAATGGTGGACGGTACTAGGGCGATCGTTAGCATCCCTGCCCCCTTTCCCTTCTTCCCTTACCTTACCCAACCCGAGGCTTGGTTGGAGGCGGTTGAGGCTCAAAACTACATCGCCGCCGACCTTCCCCGGGCTCTGACATCGCTACTCCGCAATACGTCGCATGATTGGTTCAGGAAACATACGTGGGTGGATTGGGATGCGTTCAAGCAAGCTTTCTTGGCTCAATTTGATGCGGTAAGTGAAGATGCTGCCTGGTACAAACTCAAAAGCCGACTTTAAGGACGAGGAGAACTGTTACCCGATTTCGGCGATAGATTTCAAACCACATTGGACAAATCCGGACAGGACAAGAAATCCGCTCAAAATTTGTTCATCGATCACTTACGAAGTTCGACATTGAAAGGGAAGCTACAGAAAAAGGTTCCGCCGAAAACACACCCGTTATCGGTTATCATAACTAAAGCGTTAGAGTTAAACCTGGCTGATACGAAAAAGTATATCAGCCAGGGAGACGAAGACATTACAGATACCATACGAGATGTAACGGCTAAAAGGCGATCGTGGTTGCAGGTAGTCGAACGATTTTACCCTCGCCCCGACCATGATCTTCCCGGCGGAATCGTTTTCGATATCCCGCCTGCTTCTTCCTCCCCCCCCCCTCCGTGAATCAATCGATCGCGACAATCAAAAGCGGAATCTCCCTTGAACCCCCCTCGCCAACCATATCTAGTTTGCATCTTGCCCAGCTGATCCATACGGTCACTACCAAGCAGTCCGAATGGATGAGTAACTTGATCCAAATGCTGGCAGCCTACATGGAACGAATGGAACAAATAATGAGCAGGCTGCTTAAGCCTAACCCGGCTCCCGCTCGGCCTGCCCCTGCTTCCTTCCCGCTCTTACCTGCTCCACCTGCTCCAGGATTTGCCCCTCAGTTTCCTCATCTGACTAATCCGGCCGGAAAGATCGAGTGTTTTAACTACAAACAGCCCGGGCACTTCGCCCGAGACTATCCACAGCCGAAACACAATCAGCCTCCCCCTGTTGCGGCCCCTGTCGCCCTTAATCAAGGACGAGTGACCGCTCTGATGGTTACGGACCAAGGAGATGGGCTCGTAGCGTATACTCCAGAACAGCCTTCCCCTTCGATGGCAAGGGCATCGACTTCAGGAGCCTCTTCCTCTGACGCCGCTGACGTGGTCGATCCCCTCGAGTATCTCCATCTCGCAGGCATGATCGAAGCGATCCGATCGGTCTCAGATGATATCGAGTGGGTCGATCGCGAATCCAATCCAGGACCGCAGTTTCGGACAGGAGACATTGATGTACTGAAAACGCTCAAGCAGTTGGACATCCGCGTTCCTATCCCCGTAGGGCATCTGCTCACCATATCTGAAGCGGCCAACGATAAACTTTTACAATTTTGCCAGAAAAATCAAAAGCGTTTCACCTATCAACGCATACAACGGATTATGAAGAAGAAAGAAGAAACACAGGAAGTGGTATCCCCGGAGCCGGAGACTAAAGAACCTGAAGCCGCGCGCATAGCCGCCATCTCTTTAGCAGAAAAAGACCACTTCGTATGAGCTCGGCCAGTACTATGGAAAAGTGCGGAATGTGATTGTGAAGTTTGGGGTAAGCCGATTAATGTCGTAATAGATACAGAGTCTTCTGCAGTGGCCATATCATTAGAAACTGTTAAAAAGACGGGACGACTTGGATCCATTCTTCCTCAATCTAGCAAAGACAATTATGTCTCGGCCGACGAGGAAGCAATGAATATTGTAGGCATTATCGAGAACGTGGCTGTAAAGGTCGTGTGAGTACACGTCCTTGTTAACGCACTTGTAATAGATGTACGTTCCTATTCTGAGTTGTTAGGACTACCATGGGCGATGGCGGTAGGCGCAGGATTGCATTTCGATTCAAAACAACTGGTGCTCACACAAACTGGGGGAAAACCTCAAACTGTCCCTTTGCGAGTCTCTACCCGAGCAGTAAAACGGGTCCCTAACTCGGCCCAAATAGGGATGATTCGATGCATTACTTCCAAGAAATGCACTTCCTCGGAAGACGGTAATGAGATCAGGGGACAGGAATACGAAGAAGAGATGCCCAATAAAGAGGAATGGAAGCATCTGGTTAAACTTTTCGAACATGAAACCCCCGAAGAATTTCGAGTGCGTCCCGACACCGCTCGAAGCTTCCACGCGGATTCTGAAGACAGTGCATTCACGCCTCTAACAACCCAGGTCAGTCCTTTAGTCCTCCTCGGGGAATCCATATTACAAGTTTCCGATCTGGCTGATGATTTGGAACCCCCTCGCACTTTGTACAAGGGAGCTCTTTCCTTACGAACGCGTTATCAGCAAACGGAACAGTATTTGGACGTTTCTGTCTTTCCACCCCGATCATTACTAACGACATGAGCCACCGTCGCTTTGATTAAACAAGAAGCGGAATCACCGGTAAGTGACGTTCCGAATCTAATGCAATAAATGACGGATCTAACAGAGCTAACTGTGAAACCGACTTCGGTTGGTTCAGAGACCGACGTTGAAACTAAAGAAACGGAGAGGATCAGCCCCGCTGACTCCTAGATGATAGCAATTGTCTTTTCTGTTCGGACCAGTAGCTCCGTTTTCTATAGTGTCCATGAGCGGTGGGAACGACCGATTGAGTGGGTCGATGTGCCCCTTAAGATGTCCGAGGAATCGACTATCACCCTCCCAGGTCACGTTCCCGCGGAACTGCGAAAATCATTAATTTGTGTGTTGAATGGTTACGCAGATGCATTGAGTGTGCACGATAACGACATCGGCTTAACTAATGTGATCGAGCATGCCATTCTTACGGGAGACCATCCACCCATTAGTTGCGTTCCTTACCGATATTCGCCAGCTCAACGACCTGCTGCTTTTCAGCGGATTAAAGAATTCGAAGCCAATGGTTGGATCGAACCCGCGATAGGTCCTTGGTATTTTCCCGTAGTGATCGTGCTTAAAAAGGCCGGAGGGATTCGCATTTGCATTGACTATCGGAAATTGAATGATATCACGATCAAAGATGTGTACCCCCTCCCCCGAATTGATGAGTTGTTGGATGAGATTGGGAGTGCTCGATTTTTGAGCAAGTTTGATGTTCGCCATGGGTTCCATCAGTTCTTGTTCGAGAGGAAGATCGTCCGAAAACGGCGTTTGTGCTTTTCGAAGGTACGTGGCAGTGGATTCGATGTCCGATGGGTATCTGTAACGCCCCTGCGACCTTCCAACGAGCCATGAATATGACTTTTCAGAATTTTGTACGGAAGACTCGTTTGGCACAGAGCATCATCAAGTACTACGTGACTGTGTACATGGATGACATCCTGGTGTACTCGAGCTCCTACGAAGGGCACGCACAACACATGGAATGGGCACTTCATGCGTTACGAGATGCAGGATTCAAGGTGGCGCTGGAGAAGTGTCAGTTCTTTCTCACCACCATTTCCTTCCTAGGACACGTGGTGACAGACAAGGGACTCCAACCGGAGCCACAAAAGGTGGCAACTGTCAGGGACGCATCGGTGCCCACCACTATCACGCAAGTTCGCGCCTTTCTAGGCCTAGCCTCGTACTACCAAAGATTTATCAAGGGCTTCTCGGCGATTGCGGGACCCCTCACAAATCTGCTGCGCAAGGATCAACCGTTGATCTGGACACCGGAGTGCGATCAAGCATTTTTCAAACTCAAGGCCGCTCTCATTTCGGCTCCGGTCCTTATAAGACCAGATCCTGAAGAGCCTTTTGTTCTCATCACTGATTGGCAGCCAGAGGCGATTTTGGCGATCCTCGCCATGGTGGGACCAAGCGGGCGCGAGGGTGTGATAGAATATGCGTCCAAATCAGTGCCCGCCTGCAAGCGCCACTACGCCGCTCCGACGAGAGAATGTTACGCAACTCTCTAGGGAATCAGTCACTTTCGTGCTTATCTTTTCGGACGAAAATTCACTCAGGTGACTGATCATGAGCCCCTCTTGGCACTCAAAAAGTCGAAGGATTACCCGGGCATGATCAGGCGATGGGCAACGGTGCTGCAGAGCATGGACTTGGACATCCGTCATCGGAAGCACGAGAAACACGGGAACGCGGATGGATTGACGCGATTGCACCGACCTGAAAAGGTTATGAAGAGTGAGAAGGTGATTCTGTGGAACGAACCTGCGCAAGAGATCGGGCCTCGGTACGGCCAAGTGGCGACCATGTCGAAGCCGTAAGTGACGCACGGAATAATTCATTCTCCCTTATTCAGTTTCATTTCCTCCCCTTTGTCGTCATGTCTGCAACCCCTTCTTCCCCTACTAATTCTGCCCCTCTGACTTCCTCTGCTTTCTTTGCCACCCTCCCCGATAAATTTTGTTATTTTTGCACGTGTAATGCCCGGGTTTATGGAGTCGATTGTCATCCCTTCGAAACTGGGTTTGTCTATTGGGTAGAATGTGCCACGTGTGTCAATCGTGTGCACGGGGCCTGCATTCGATATCGGACGAGTAGCAAGGAATGGAGGTGCCCCCTGTGTAGAACGAACAAACTCCCCACGGAGGTTCGGTTCGAGGCTGCCCGTACGGACGACCCTGAATACGACGAAAAATACCGACGGGTGGAAGTTTGGACGGATAAAATCTTATTGGCAAAATTAGCAGGATTACCATTGGGTCACCTCACCAAACACGACCGACGTAGGGCGACCGAGAGATCTCGGAACTATCGATGGATGAACGACCATTTGGAAAAGCGTAAAACAGACAGATCGGGTTCGTGGCTGACAGCTCCCCATCCCTTCCAGAGATACGATTGGATCCGAGTTGCTCACGAGGAACAGATCGCTCATTTTGCGATATGGATCACGGAGGCAACAGTAGACCAGAACCGATGGTTCTGGTCCAATATATGAGATGATGTCAAATACATTGTCGCTAACTGTCTGGTCTGTGCCGCTGATCGCGCCCCTATACGGGGACCAAACATGATCGTACGAACGGAAGTAGAGCATCCTTTCCAGCGAGTCAGTATGGAAACGACAGATATTGACGTGCCACCCTCAAACCGCTGTGAATATTCTATTTTATTAGGATTAATTGACCACTTTTCTAAATACATCGAAGTCTATCCCTGTAAGACCCGAAAGGCCGCAGAAATAGCCATGTATATCGAGCGGTTCCTCTATACCCATCTAGATACGAAAGAAATTGTAACCGACAATGGATCTGAATTTAAAGGTGAGGTAGAAGAACTACTTGCGCGAAGGGGCGTCACGCTCCGACATACTGCACCCCACGTGTCCCTGTCGAACGGGTTGGCGGAGAATGCCAACCGTATGATTAAAACTGCCCTTCGCAGGAACTTAGCGGCCCGAAATCATATATCAGATCGTCGGGATCCACCGAGCCACTCCTCACGAATCCACGGGGTTTACCCCCTTTCAGCTTCGAACTAATAGCCTCCCCTATGTCGATTACCGGGGTAACTCATAAATTGCTGAAGCAGGGGGTAGAGACACGCGTGCGGACCTCAAAGCTAAGGCTAAAAGGAACGCCGACTTAATGGAACGGGCCGTTCCGAAGCTAGCCCGAAAAAGACAAAGGATGACCGAACTGGCGCACGGTAGACATGTCCGTAGCTACGAGGCTCGGAATGGAAATGTCGGGCCTCAACATCAATATAAATTAGGGGACCTAGTGCAGGCACGTAAATGTGCACGAGGCCGGAAACTCGCTCCCAAGTTTTCTGGCTGCTTTCGCGTGATCGAGCTTGGACCCAACGGCGCCAACATGGTGCGTATCACGCCTGAGGCTAGTGCCAGCCATAACTATGTCCCCATCATCCGACATATCTCCTACCTTCGCCCTCTTCCTCCCCCTGATCTTCCTCTTTCCTCTTTCTTGGAAAGCAAGGAAAACGACGACGATCTAACCCTCTCTTCTCTTTCTCCCTCTTGTCCCTCGTCCTCCTCTCGGACCTCGTCATGAGTTTTATCACGGAGCGGGTTCTTGACACACAGCTACGGCAACCACGTGACCACATCTCAGAGATTCAGCAAGTTTGTTACCCCCGGCTCAATACAGATCTCTGCCGTTTGATGCGATTCTTCTGCGACGAAGGTATCTGTGTCGCCGCCGCATTTCGGATAGAAGGAAGCCCTCACGCGATAGTGTTCGCAGAAGTTACTACAGTTCATCGGCGAGCGGGTCCCAGAACGAGCCACGTCACCACGGTGGCAGGATTCACCGGCGACATCAGCTCGGTCAATCCATTGCGGCATACCGCAATCTTGGCTTCGTTGCGCGAGTGGACGGAGCAAGTGTCCAACGTGTGGCAGCACGTCCTCGCCCGGGAGGGGTATAACATCATCTCGATCTTTGCATCGGATCTTGACGATATTCGCCGATCACCACGCGAGCGGCCAGTTGTGATCCCAACCCTCGTCCCCTTCCCCCATCCCCAATGAACCACGCTAATCTTCTCGCCCCTCTCCTTATCTTTGGTCTTTCCTCTCTCTTCCCCACCTTCTGGCAATCCGATCTCCACCCTTCTCTCTCCTTCTCATTCGAACCTCTTTCGGTCCCTCTTATCAACCCTGGACATTGGCGGCTGTGGCGCGAAATTTTTGAGGAGCTGTCCTTCTGCTTGGCCAGAGAACGGGTGAAGTGGACGGGCACTAGCAAGCATCCCGCGTGGATCGAGAATCCGGAGCTGCTGATCATACAGGGTTGGAGGACTAACGCGGAAGGAGATCTTATTGGATTCCTCTTTGGATCGGTACGACCAGGTCGCCGTCAGTTGATTGCACAGGAACTCATCGCACTGATCGTGCAATTGGCGGACGATCTCTCGCCCGACATCTACTTTCAGAGTGACAACAGTCCTGCTCCGTACATTTTCGAACGGTTCTTGGATCCGTACGTTCAGTGGACTTCGTGCTTGGAGGAACCTAGGGACGAGGATACACTACCATCGCGGCAGGAGTATCTGAAGTCGTACGAGATCATCCCTTACGCCTTCAACTCGAGGGCAGAAGAAGTGGTGATCGACGACGGCGACGACGAAGAAGAAAACGACGACGAGGAAATACCGGAGGAGGGAAGCTATAATGAACATAGAGAAGGCGAGCTGAGTGAGGAGGAAGAAGAAGCCGGATCTGAGTGGGAAGCCCCGCCGGAGGAAGCGACGCGTRCRGGAACGGAGGCGGARGATCCGGAAGCRGAGCGAAGGCGCGAGGAAATTGCCACCGGGAAGCGACAACTGGAGTTCGCCAGCAGGGCCAGCCTGCGCATCGACAACAATCCGATCAGGGATCCGGAGCCGCCAAAGCCCGAAGATGGCAAACCTGCAACCGCCACCTCAAGTACTGCGCAACGGAGAAGGAGCAGATCCTCCTCCCCCTCTAGCCCCGCCCGTCCCCCAGTGCGTCCACGTACCGATGCGGGCGATAGGCCTTTGTCCTCGCACTCTGTCCCGCCGACCCCTTGATTTCCTCACCCTCGAGCAGATCCGTACCCCCATCACCTTCCCTTCTCATCCCTTCCATCCCCATCTCTTCCGTGATTACTACTCTACCCGTTTACTCGCCACCGTCCACCCCCACGCCTCCCTTAAGTCCGTTGCTCCCACATTCTGCTGGCATCTCCTGCTGTTCAACGCTGCATGGGAGCAATCCAACGTGATAGAAGTTTACTGCGTCGCCACAAGGACAATCCCCGCTTGCCGCCACTTCGAGATCTTTCGAGCGGCGCTTTTCCGTACCCTCTCCTCCTTCTATCACGACTTTCTCGCCTCCCTCCCCCGCAGTAGCGATCATTTCCCCCGCTTCCACCGAATCGYCCGATATGAGGAGCTCCCTGTGASGATGGAAGGGACGAATCGCTTCCTRCCCCCACTCCCTCCCYGTCACCCCCRCGAGATCCCCGGCATGTACTGCCTCTACWGGCCTATTCCAACTAGGCGGTGGTAGATCCCCTTTCACTTGAACCCCCCCCCCCTCCCTTCATCGGCACGAATCGGTAAGCTTCGCGAAGATCACGCCATCGACGATGACGTCAACCTACTTGCCGATTCGGCGGACGGCAACAAGCAGGGGTGCAGAGCGCATGGAGATCAGGTGGACCATGATGGTGTCACCTGGACGATCTCCACGAGGCAGAGGGTAGCATATGACAGGGCTCCGGAGATCTTGCCACGGATGTTGTCGCCATCTCATCCACGACCCGGTTATGGTTCCTTGTACTTCTTTTTCTCTGTTGATACGCTTGGTTCCTCAAGCATCACTTTGTTCTCTTGTCTTTCTTTCGCCATGACATGCAATCAGGAGATCGCATAATTTTGGAACCCCCTGCGAGTCACATATGTGACGAACCACTTCCCGACCCCGTGCCATATTTGTACCCTTTCTTTTGCTTGTATCATACCAACCCCATGAAAACCCCGTTTCGATTTCTTGTTTTTTCCTTTCTTTTTTTGAGAACTTCTTCGACTGCTGGGTTCTGTTTTTCTTTTTGCAAAATCGGGAAATACATGGGCATCTACGTGCGCCTAAGCGAGCGCACTGGGAATTGAGCTCGGCAGTTGGGAATTCCGGAACAAGCGGAACTTCGACGTGTCCTTTTTGAATGTGTGAATGTTCTTGGCCGCGTCGGGGAAAACTTTCGGAATTTCATCTGGAAACGAATAGGCGTAGGATTTCCTTTTCCCGTGTCGCTCTATCGCGCGCGGATATGGTGATTTCAATTTTGAATTAGGATAGAGGCAAGTTGTAACTGTTTCAGTGTCTTTTCTCTTTTTTTGTTGACGGCGCTGCGCATGCAACAACTTCCTCCCCTCTGTCCCCCGCATCGCTCGCTCCCACGCTCCCTTTCCTTCTCCCTCCTCTTCCTCTCTCCTCGTACCTTTTTTTCTTTCTCTCCCCCCCCCTCCCCGTCTTGCTCTTTGCGCGCCCATTTCCCTTTCTGGATCGTCTGAATCTTGGACCCGTCTTGCGCCACCTCTCGGGCCTTTTTCTCTTCTCACCCTCTGAGTCTGGTGTATGACGCCCCGTCGATCCATCGATAACTCCCGCTCACCAATCATTTGTGTGGATCGATAGGACTTACCTATCGCACGACGAATCTGATTGGTTGAACCTTGAGTTCCAAGGAATCAACATGGCGTTCACGGAGCACTCGCCTCAAAGTCCTCCCCTCCTTCTCCTCCCAACCCCCCGCCCTCTCCCCCTTCTATCTCCTTTCTCGCAACTATAAAACCCGCAAGCGCGCCCGCAAACCTCTCTTATGTTCTCGGCTCCTAAGCCAGCTTCCGGGAAGCAGTGGCTAGGCAGAGTGTGTTGATGCGAGTTGGAAAGTCTTGTCGGGCTGGCGATAGGCTGGCCGGTTGCGGGCTTGATCGCCACGACGGACTATGGGATCTGGGCAAACCGTGTCGAGTTTACGACAGGGGGGTGACGATCGCAGTGGTGAGAGTTAGCATGCGACAGTCGGGATCGTCGGTGCGGGTATGAGAATCGATGATTGGAGTTCAATGAGTGTTTGGCCACGGGCCATACTGGAATTAATGACGAATGCACCGTTGTTGTCGCGGACCTTTATCTTTGGTGTGAATGTACAGCGGTCATGTCGAATGTCTCTCTTGCAGATCTGATCCTCCCTTATCTCGACTCGTCTCCCCCTTCTTCCCCCTCTCTTCTCTACTTTTGAATAATGATGTGTCTCGATGATT